CCTGCTGGAAAATGAAACCAGCATCTCCATATAGCTCGTCAGAGCAGGAAGTCTCTAAAATGTCCTGGTAGATGTTGCGTTGACTGTGGACTTCAGAAAACCCAGTGGAGCAGCACCAGCAGAGGTCATGGACCCAAACCATCCCTGACTGGAAACTTCTCAGTGGACTTGAATAATGTGGATTCTGGACCTCTCCACTCTTCCTCCAGACTCTGGATCTCGAGTTATAAAAGACATGAAAATTTACTTTAATCTGAAAAGAACATTGGACCACTGAGAGACAATCCAGTTCTTTGTCTCCTCAGCAGGTAAGATGCTTCTGATATTGTCTCTGGTTCAGGAGTGGCTGGACTTGAGGAATGAGATATTTGTAGCTCATGTCCAGGAGTTCATCAGCTGATCAGAGTGAGACACCAGGAGTTTACAATATTGAACTTCTTCACAATATTCTCATTTTCTGAGAAACTGAATTTGGGTTTTTCAGTATTTGTAAGTTAAAACCATCACAATTACAATAAATAAAGGCTTGAGTATTTCTATGACTAATGAATCGATATGAGAGTGTCATCCATCATCCTCCTCTTGTTCTGAAGTCAGGTCTCAGGGGCAGCAGCTTGAGCAAGGAGGTCCAGACATCTCTTTCCACAGTCAGCTCTTCTGGGAGGACTCCAGTTTGTTCCAAGGCCAACTGAGAGACGTAGTCTCTCTAGCTTGTCCTGGGTCTTCCCCGGGTCTTCTAGTTAGACATGCCTGAAGCACCTCCCTAGGGAGGCGACCAGGGAGCATCCTTACCAGATGCTCAAACCACCTCAACTGGCTCCTCTTGATGTGGAGGAGTAGCAGTTATACTCGGAGTGTCTCATGGACTTGTGGACTTCACATCTGCCTTCAACACCATTATTCCCCAGATCCTGATGGGCAAACTACTCACACTATATGACTAAGCCCCTCCATTTGCAACTGGGTCCTAGCTGTGGCGGTGGGTGGATTTTTGTTGGGGGGGGGGCTATAACTCCAGACAAGCACGCGTACACACACACATAGACCTAGACAGATATTTATGGGTCTTAGACTTCTTAACAAACACCACAGTCCGTGAGAATCCACAACTTCTCCTCCTCCACCATAATCCTCAGCACTGGCTTCCCTCAGGGCTGTGTACTGAGCACTTTCATGTTCACTCTACTCACGTATGACTGTGCACCCACCCATCCAGGCTGTCATACTGTAAAGTTTGCAGATGATGCGGCGGTGGTGGGATGCATCACAGACAACGAGTCCAGCTACAGGCAGGAGATGGAACACCTGGAGAGCTGATGCAGGAAAAACAACCATCCATTCTCTTTTACCCGCTTCTTCCATTTTGGGTCACAGGGGTCGCCGGTGCCCATGCCCAGCAAACACTGTGCAAGGGGCGGGGTACACCTTGGACAGGTCTCCAGTCCATCACAGGGACGCATAGAGACAAACGAGACAAAAAACCATTCACTCTCTCACTCACACCTAGAGACAATTTAGAGTTACCAATCAGTCTAACATGCATGTTTTTGGTCTGTGGGAGGAAATCGGAGTACCCACAGAAAACTCACGCATGAATGGAAAGAACATGCAAACTCCCCCCAGAAAGGCCCTCGGACCAGGATTTGAACCGGCAACCTTCTCACTGAGAGGCAGCAGCTCTAAGAAGCACAACCTTATGTGAAGAAGATGAAGGAGATGGCCGTGGACTTCAGACGGAACAAACATACCTACACCCATGAACATAGCAGGATCTGTGGTGGAAGTGGTCTCCAGCTACAAGTACTTGGGTGTGTGCATCTGAATAACAACCTCAGCTGGAGCAACAACACTACCAGCCTGATCAAGAAAGCTCATCAGAGACTCTACTTCCTCAGACAGCTGAGACGAGCTGGTCTGGGAAGCTCAGTCCTCACCTCCTTCTACAGGTGTGCAGTGGAGAGCATCCAGTGCTCCATCATCAACGTGTGGCATGGAGGCTGCACAGCTGCAGAAAGAAAAGCTTTGCAGAGTGGTGAAGGCTGCACAGAAGTCTGCTGGAGTCAGTCTCCCCACCATCACAGACATTTACACATCTAGATGCAGGAAGAGGGCCACCTGCATCATGAAGGACCCCACTCACCCAGCACACACACTTTTTGCCCACTCATCTCACAAAGAAGGTTAAGGTAAGGAGCATTAAGTGTGGAACCATTAGACTAAGGAACAGCTTCTACCCTGAAGCTGTTAGACTGATGAATCTGTAACCAGTATAATCACTGTGAAAAATCACATTATGTTGCTGCTGATCTGTTTCATGTTGCTGTGTTCATGTGTGCTCATCTGCTCACACATACTCATGTTTATGCTGTTGTTTTTGTACTGTTAGTGCTTTGTGTATTTTTAATGTTTTTCTTAGATCTTATTACTGTTTTTTTTTTTTTTTTTGCATTTTATACTTTTGTTGGATGTAACTGGGACCATGTGTACCCAATTTGATTCCACCTCATGTACCACAACTGGTGCAAATGACAATAAAGAACCTTGAATCCTTGTAGCTGAAGACCACTTCCACCACAGATCCTCCTATGTTCAGGGGGAGATAGGTGTGTTGGTTCCGTCTGAAGTCCACGACCATCTCCTTCGTTTTTTTCACATTGAGATGAAGGTTGTTCTTCCTGCACCAGCTCTCCAGGTTTTCCACCTCCTGCCTGTAGCTGGACTCATCATTGTCTGTGATCCATCCCACCACCACTGTATCATCTGCAAACTTTACAGTACGACAGCCTGGATGGGTGGGTGGGTGCACAAGTCATACGTGAGCAGAGTGAACATGAGAGTGCTCAGTACACAGCCCTGAGGGGAGCCAGTGCTGAGGATTATGGTGGAGGAGGAGAAGTTGTGGATCCTCACGAACTGTGGTGTTTGTTAAGAAGTCTAGGACCCATAAATATCTATCTATGTCTAGGTCTATGTGTGTGTGTGTGTGTGTGTGTCTGCAAACTTTACAATATGATAGCCTGGATGGGTAGGTGCACTTGACCAGAGTGAACATGAGAAGACTCAACACAAAGCTCTGGGGGGAGCCAGTGCTGAGGGTTATGTTGTAGGAGAAGTTGTGGATCCTCTCAGACTGCAGTCTGTTTGTTAAGAAGTCTAGGACCCAGTGGTGACTCGTCAGTAGGGGGCTTTCGAGCGCTGCCCACCCACTGGAACCACTCAGCATTTAACATTGAAGACTTAAAAAAAAAATTAATAAAAAATGAAATAATAAAATAAAAATATTTCAAAATACATGTATATATTTTTTTAGTTGTGCAAGATAAATATTTTATAGTTAATAATGAGTTGTTTCTTTCAAAAATGTTTTCTGATTGGTGACGTATTTCCGGCCCCTGGGGACTCAAGAATCTAGTACATATACTCTCGTTAAAAATTGTACATGCACAGTTATTCTGCTATATTGCAAGAGAGAGGAAAATTCTGGGCGCAGATATCGGTGCCCGGGGGCACGTCGAACACGAGCTGTACCGATCAGTACCGATTGTGTGCTTCCGGTCCTGGAACAGATTTTATTTCATTTTTTTTGTCCAGGAACAGATCATGCTGCAACCATAGTTGCCAAGTACACTTATTATAAGCGACTTTGGGCTTTTAAAAATTTTTTTTTTCTAAAGTCGCTTGCAAATCTTGTGAGTCGCAGTTTGTGGTTTTTTGGGCTTGTTGTGAACATGAAGTTGCTTATTTGGGCTTGACCTTCTTTCCGAGTGAAACTAGTTGATTATGTCCCAGCTCTGCACAATAAAGCAAAAGACGAGTGGTAGTAAGTAGTTTGTCCAGTTTCATTTCACCACATGTACCTATGTGATACGAATGGCAATAAAGAAACCTTGACCTTGGATAACTGAACTTCTCATGCCGTCTCTAAGGGAGAGTCCAGCTTCCCTGCAGAGGAAACTTATTTCAACCGCCTGTATCCACCATCTCATGCTTTCGGTCACTACCCAAAGTTCATGACCATAGGTGAGGGTAGGAACGTAGACTGATCGGTAAACAGAGAGTTTTGCCTTACAGCTCAGCTCTCTCTTCACAACAGCCTGTCACAGAGTCTACAAAAATGCAGACACTGCACCAATCCGTATGGCAATCTCATGCTCCATTCTTCCCTCACTCGTGAACAAAACCCCGAGATACTTGAACTCCTCCACTTGAGGCAAAACCTCACCATCGACCTGAAGAGAGCCATCCACCCTTTTCTGACTGATCATGGCCTCAGATTCGGAGGAGCTGATTCTCATCCCGTTTGGATGAAACAGATTTGGTCAGTTTGGATTTTCAAACCATTTCATCCCGTCATCATTCAAATCCCGGCCAGGGGTCTTTCTGGGTGGAGTTTGCATGTTCTCTCCGTGCTGCATGAGTTTTCTCCGGGTACTCCAGTTTCCTCCCACAGATCAAAAACATGCATATTAGACTGATTTGTAACTCTTAATTGTCCCTAGGTGTGAGTGAGAGAGTGAATGGTTGTATGTCTCGTTCATCTCCATGTGTGCCTGTGATGGACTGGAGACCTGTCCAGGGTGTCCCCCACCTCTCGCACAGTGACTGCTGGATATGGACACCAGTGACCCCATGACCCGAAAAGGAAGAAGCGGGTGAAGATAATTGATGGATGGAGTTGCATGTGGCTTTTTCTTGTTGCAGTGTCTCTGGAGGGTGTTTAGTCCAAATGGCATCAGAGCCACCCACACAAAACCATTCCAGGTGTGCAGTACTGTCCTCAGGTTGGATCCTACTCCCTTTTTATGAACTTTATATGATTATTTCATAAAGATTTGCTGTTTTTTAAACGTCCTGGGATGTGATGCGTGGGGATCACTTGAAGGCTTTTTAGGTTAAGATTTTATGTCTGTGGACTAACACTGGATCTGGGTTGCAGTGCAACACTGTCCACTGTTTGTTGCTGCCGGTCACATGACCCGAGTTGTTCACCAGACACAAAACCATTTTGAAACACGTTTATTCCAACATTTACATCATGTAGAAAAAACAATCAACAATTTTTTTTTTAATCTCAGCTAATTTTGTTTAGGTGTGCTGCAGGGGAAACAAACAAGACATTTTTCAGGTTACTTATTGATCACTAATTTAGTGTAAACAATTGTCCAGATCAATACTGTATGTGAGGAAAGAAAATTCATCTGACAAGCATGCGAAGAAAGGAATGATGGGAAAGCTTAAAGTATAATACATCAGATTCTGGCCCATTGAGGACTGAACAGTTAAACTGTGTGGTGTGGCTCAGAGGAACAGATGACAACTGGACGGTTGTTGGTTTGATCTCAGCTTTCCTCAGTGTCCTCCACCAAAACTCCCCCCAGGACTCCCATCAAAAAACTTCAGTTTCCGCCAAGTATGAAGTGAAAATGTTTGAAGACACCAGACTGAATGACCAGACATGATGAACTCTACTCAATCGTTGTGACCCAGAAAGAATCTAGACTCTGTCAATTGACACTGTCCTGATGGACCCTGGACTTTAACTGTCACTGTCCTGATGGATCCTGGACTTTGACCGTTAGCTGTCCTGATGGATCCTGGACTTTGACCGTTAGCTGTCCTGATGGACCCTGGACTTTGACTCTGTCCTGATGGACCCTGGACAGAGAGCCATTTGATTAACTATGACACCAGGTCAACGTTTGACGTTACTGTCCTGATGGATCCTGGACTTTGACTGTTACTGTCCTGATGGACCCTGGACTTTGACGTTACTGTCCTGATGGACCCTGGACTTTGATGTTACTGTCCTGATGGATCCTGGACTTTTGACTTTTACTGTCCTGATAGACCCTGGACTATGACGTTACTGTCCTGATGTACCCTGGACTTTGACTGTTACTGTCCTGAAAGACCCTGGACTTTGACCATTATTGTCCTGATGGACCCTGGACTTTGACGTTATTGTCCTGATGGATCCTGGACTTTGACTGTTACTGTCCTGATAGAAGCTGGACTTTGACCGTTACTGTCCTGATGGACCCTGGACTTTGACCGTTACTGTCCTGATGGACACTGGACACTATCTTACTGTGACGGCAAGTTTCTTTGCTAAAGGCATCTTCAAAGCCTCGGAACATCTTTAACGAGTCAAAAGATAAACTACACTAGAAGAACATACAAAACATGAGTCAGGTAAACTCTTTCTTCTCTGTTCAGGTCTCATCTCTCTCAGCAGATGTTCCTCAGGTCAGTCAGTCCAGAAAGCGCTGGCAGGCCTTCTTCCAGCGGCACGCCGTGCACCACAGCTCCCTGTGCTCGATGCCGTACACTTTACGGCACTTCTTGGCCTCGTTGCGAATCCTCCTGATAAACACACAGGAGTCAGGCTGCTGGGTCTCTGGAGGCCCATCTGGGCTGTTGTACAAAAACACATGTAAGAAACACTGACCTGCAGGGGGTGTTGTGATTCTGCAGCCACTGCTCTCCCACGCTGACCGAACGCACTCTGAACGCCACGCCCTGACAAAGAGGACAGATTAGGCAGGTTTAGGGTTCATCCTCACTCCAGGAACAAGACAAGGAATCAGATTTTCATTTTTGTTCCTGAACCTAACTGTTTGTGAGTTGAAGTCTTGTTTCTGAACTGAGTTGATGATCAGCTGATCAGTTTTTGGTTTTAAACATAAAAAAGAAACCCAGAAACAGGCGCATTTTCAATATTTTCACAAAAACTGAGATGACTCAATCTTGACTAAAACAGGACGGGTACAGGACATAAATAGTCTCTTTAGAGAATAAAACTGTTTTGTCTTCCTGTCTCTGAATCACCATGTTGCTCGTGTGATTTATGGTCAATTACGGTTGGCTGAGTGGTTTCAGGGCTCACCTGTCTGCTGCAGGTGGTGGGCGGGGCTGCCAGAGACACCACATGAGTTGGGGGCAGAGCCTAAAGAAAAGTCGAAACATAAAAAAATCATTTTCCACATTTGTTTTTGTATTGGACAACACAGTGGCTCAGTTGGTAGAGCGGTTGCCTCTAAGAGAGAAGGTCGCCGGTTCAAATCCCGGCCGGGAACCTTTCTGGGCGGCGTTTGCATGTTCTCTCCGTGCATGCGTGGGTTTTCTCCAGGCACTCCTGTTTCCTCCCACAGAACAAAAACATGCAGGTTAGACTGATTGGTAACTCTAAATTGTCCCTAGGTGTGAGTGAATGGTTGCTTGTCTCATTTGTCTTTATGTGTCCCTGTGATGGACTTGCGACCTGTCCAGGTGTCCCTGTGATGGACTGGAGACCTGTCCAGGTGTCCCTGTGATGGACTGGAGACATGTCCAGGGTGTCCCCCGCCTCTTGCAGAGTGACGGCTGAATATGGGCACCAGTGACCCCTGCCACCCAAAAAGGAAGACGCAGGTAAAGATGATGGATGGATGTTTTTGTATAGTTATCTAACTGTGATGAAGTAAACAACATAAACACAAACAAGGTAAACAAGCAGTATGGAAAAAGCCTCAACAGAACCAGCGTTCTTTTTTTTTTTTTTAACAGAATCACGTAAATGATGTGCACAATTAGAACTGCGTTCAGTGGTTCTACGAAGCTGACTGGATAATCACACCAGTTCTGACTGTGTCCATGCATGTTCATGGAAAATGGGCGTGGCATTGAATGACCAATCACAGTCAAGGATCATTAGGGAAAGCTGAGAGGTAAACTAAAGCCTTAGGATTCACTGGGAGAACATGTAAACACCACCTAGAAAAGCTCTGGGTGGGATGCAAACCTGCAACCTTCTCGCTGAGAGGCGACAGCTCTAACGCGCCATGTTCAAATCTAATTAACATCCTCTCACTACTGCACAAACACAAAATGTTTTTTTTTTTCTCCTGACCTTATTTGCATTTAATCTCTCTGATATTTAGTTTTATTGCTTATTTTAAAAAGTACTTTTTTTTTTTTACAAATTTAATTTAGTTAAAAGTATAATGAGAATCTACAGATGAAGAGTTTTATGGTTTAACTTTGTTTTAGGCTGTTTATGATTAAATAGGATAGATAACATCAGAGCTGTCTGTCACTACTAAAGCCCCACCTACCTGGTAGGAGTGCTCTGATTGGACCTGCCAGAAGCTGCCAGTGGGAGAGGGGGCGGAGCGACTCAGAACGCTGCAGGTGAAGGTGGGAGGAGATGGAGGGGAAGGTGGAGGGGGTGAGGGAGGCAAAGATGGGGAGGAGGGCGGTGAGGTGGGAGAAGACTGGCGCTGGTTTATCTCGGTGTAGTAAAAGTCCTCCTCGTGTTCACTGCCGTGGCTGCAACAGAAAGGTCAAAGGTCAGCAGATATTTTTCTGCTTGTCATTCAACAGTCTGTCTCTGTCATAATGGAGATCTCCTCAACATATTCCCTGCAGTAAGAGCGCTCCAATAAACCAAACAGTTTCTCTGAGACGTTCCAGGACTACAACCCAGCGGTGATCGTTTTTGAAGCATACATGGATGGACCTCTGAGACTGAGGCCATGAATCTTTGCTGAGATCAATCTTCTTTTTCTGAGATCCAGTTAGCACTGCTGGTTTTATGCCGTTTCTGTATTTTGGTTTAGCTTTACTTGTCCTTGTAGTACATACAGTATATGGAAGGGAGATTCTGACCAAAGGTCAAACTTCAGAGATTCAGGAGGAGCAGTGTGACTTTCATCCTCATTGTGGAACAGTGGACCAGATCTTCACACTCGCCGAGATGCTGTGGAGGTCTTGGGAGTTTGCCTCTCCAGTCTACATGTTTTGTGTACCTGGAGAAGGCTTATGATCGTGTTCCTTAAGGCATTCTGTGGAGGGGGCTGCAGGAATATGGGGTGTCTGGGTTGCTTTTAAGGGCTACCCAGTCCCGGTATAACCAAAGCAGGAGCTGTGTCCACATCCTTGGCACAAAGTCGAGCTTGTTCCCAGTGCGGGTTGAACTCCACCAGGGGTGCCCCATGTCTCCGATCTTGTTTGTGGTGTTCATGAACAGGATCTCAAGATGCAGTCGTAGAGAGGAGGGTGTGTGGTTTGAGAACCTCAGGGTCTCATCATAGTATGTATATAAATATATATATAT